GAATGAAACCTAAGCAACATCATTAACACACAACCACTGTGAGGCCAGCATTTATTTTCTGAGCTTTTGGGCTACTATCTTTCACCCCAGTCATGCCTGATCTTGATTGCTGGAGGTAAACCCCACTAAGGAACAGAATAGCAGCAATCAGCTAGCCTGTCTTCCCTTCTATATGCCAGCAGGCTTCTACAAGTCATGGAAAGTGACAGAGAGGTCGGGCCATTAACCACCCTGCTGGAGCAATCACCATCCACCAGTGGGATTGAGGGACTGGAAGACCTTCCTCCGAAGAAGCCCACGTGATGCTCATGAGAATCCTGAGTCTTTGCAAGATCTGAGCCAACCTGAAGCTGTATCAGTCAACACTGCCACAGCTTTGTCTTAAATCAGGGGTCTTCAAACTTGTCCCTTTTTATGACTTGTGGACTTCAACTCCTGGAATTCCGGGAGTTGAAGTCCACAAGTCATAAAAAGGGACAAGTTTGAAGACCCCTGTCTTAAATGGTGGTAGAAGACAAGGCAGGCACAGAGTGAACAAAGGAAGAACGTGCACAAAAGCCATTGCTACGTCATCAGGGACCCTAGAAAAGCATGAACTGCCCTGACCATCCTAAAACAGCATTTGCCTATATTCAAACATTGGACGTGCTGCAATCATCAATCCTGAGGGATCTTCAGCGGCAATGGACAAAGGCTTGGAATCCCAACCCATCTAGAGGTTGGTCAAACAGGAGAAAAACTGGCCTTTCAGACACAGCTTTCTGGGGCTCGTTTGCCGTCAACACAACATAGCAGAGAGGAAAGAGAACCAGCTCCGATCCGGAGACAATTTGACAACAAGGAATGTCAGCCGCGCTATAATTAATGTGATCAAGACAGATCACACCTGCCAGAGTAACAATTACTGTAAAAGGGTGAACTAAAATCCATTTACTGATTAAGATTTCAACTTGGAATTCCAGTTAGGGCAAGGACCACCATCGTGAAGCTTGACAAATTCCCTACCAACCAAGTTGCTGGCTTCCTCCTGATCATTTGTGCCATTTCAGGAGATGGGGAACGCGCTGTGAAAGACCTCTTTGGGATACACACAATGAAAACAAGCAAAGAGGCTCATGGGGCCATTTGGGTCAGGAGGATTTGAGGCAGGAATCACTTTTCCTTGCCTATCAATCTTGGATTAGATAAGCAATCAAATAATTTGGAGGAATTTCTTTCAGAGCTGGCCGAAGCCACTGAGATACAGGATGCCACAGCTATCCATGGACTTGCTTTTTCGGCCTATTTTACAAAATGTTTATAAATGTAGGGAAACTTCCAAGCCGGTTTTCATTCATTCCAATGGCCTGATGTTCTTTCAAAAGACCAAAGAACTGGTTGTCAGAATAGCAATAATAATAATTATTTTAATTAAAATAACTCCAGCCACCACTAACGACAGTTTCTGAACACACCCTGCTATTCTACCTTACCAGAATATGCTACTATTTCTAAAAACTAAACCAGGGCAACTGCCAGCCCTATCTGGATGTGTTCTATTATGTTATCATCAATTACAATTATTTCTGCCTTTGCAAATCTTTCCCCTGGAAGTGAGCCGTACGTTATGGACCCAAAGTGGGCGTCTATCAAACAAGCTGGCTCTGGATGAAGGGAATTACAATTCAATACATCTGGGGGGAAAAAAACCAGCCAATGGAATGACTAGACTATTATCACAGAGAAGTAAATCTGGGCCATGAGAATGATATTCCCACTGACGAAAGCTCAGAATTAAAACATCTGATAACTGATAAGGAAAGTAATCAGAATGATTATTTGAATATAGGGAAGGAAAATTGTGTTCCTCTGAATGTCCTAGATTTCAAGTCTATCAGATCTGGCCAATTTAATCAATAGCAAGAGGCTACAAAAGAGTGCCAGCATGCTTATCCATGCTTTTGCAGATCATAATCATCTTATGTTCTTAACCTTCCCCAACATGGTAATGAACTGAAGCCGGGCACTCCTTTCATGCTAAACCGAACGGCCATGGCATGCTGGCTAGAACAGAAACATGAGGGATCCCACCATGAAAGGGATCATCTGAAGAATACAGGTCTATGAAAAGGAATCTAGGATCCTCCAAATATTTGTATAGCTCTCAGCTCATCCACAACAGCCCTTTGAAGAACAGACTGCTTATTTTCTCCCGCTAACACAGGGGAGAGACAGAGGATTGTAGGGTCCTGCACCAATCCTCACAAATGGCTGCCTGGCTTCCCTCTTGAAAGGGGGAGCCATCCTTTTTCTAAGAAATTAAGTTTCTGCAGATCAACTGCACTTATTTTGAGAGGGTCTTTTAGCTTAAGCCAATAAAGGGGGATATTTTAATTTTAATTAGTTTTAACTTTCAGGAAGGTGGCTTTGAATGCCTTTTTTTTTTTTTTTTTTTAAAAAGGGGTCCTTGGTGCTCTCTGTGCTTGCTTGTTTTCTTGCAGACATTTCGTGACCCAACTGGGCAACATCATTAGTGCTAGAAGGGAGAGAGTTATGCAGAGAGGAGGAGGAAGACCCTGGGGTCCTTTGGGGCTCTCTGAGCTTGCTTTGTTTTCTTGCAGATGTTTCATGACCCAAACTAGGTAACAGCATCAGTACTACATCATCGGTTACCTAGTTTGGGTCATGAAAGGTCTGCAAGAAAACAAACCAAGTTCAGAGAGCACCAAAGGACCCCTTAAAAAACAAAAAAAAGCATGCAAAGTCACCTTCCTGAAAATTAAAACCAGGCTTGCTTCTTCCTATCTCCTAGCAGAACAGAGATGGGGGCTCAGCATCCTCTGGGACCGGGCAGGGCTCCCTTCTGCAAGGCTAAAACCTTCCCCCCTCCACTGCAGAACTGGGCTTTTTGGGGGGGGGGNGGCGGAGGAGGGGGGGAAACTCACCCAAAGATGACCGCATTCCACACCATGATGTTGTTCTCCGAGGGGGCTCCGCTCACTCCGGCCGGGGGATCCTCCTGCAGCCTGTGCGGGGAAAGGCGGGCAGGAAAGGGTTAAAAAAAAGGGGGGGGGCGCCCGCTGAAAGGCGGGGGGGGGAGGAGAAGGGAAGCGATGGGATTTCGCCCCGCCTACGCCAACGGCGTAGCTGGCCCTAATCTCCGAGGCCGCTACGCCAGTAGCGTAGCGCTCCCATCAGCAGCGGCCGCGCCGCCGCCATGTTGGATCGCCTCACCTCTCCCTCCGCTGCGCTCCCCCTCCCCCGCCAATCCCTCCGCCTCAGCGGCCCTTCTCGGGCGGCTTACCTCTTGAAGTCCCGCATGAGGCGCCTCCGGGCCGGCGTGGACATGGCGGGGCTCGCGGTTACGAATCACTCATACACCAGCGGGGCGGAGAGCGGGGAGGGGGACGCGAGGCGGCGGCGGCGGCGGCACCGGCGGCGGCGGCGGGAGCTGGTTCCGAGCGGAGGCAGCCTCTTCCACTTGTGCCTCAACAATGGGGGGGGCGAGGAAGGCGGCGAGACGGACGCGGCCCTTGACTACGCGGCAGTGGTAGCGCCGGCCGAGGCGTCTGGGCAATGCCGGACCGCACCACTGCCCTTGCGGAGGGGGGGGATTGAGAAAACAGAGAGGGGCGGTGCTACACGCAGCCGCCGACTCACACCGGGGATGTACCACTGCGCCGCATGGAGGGGGGGAAGAAAAGGGCGGTGTTTCGAAAGGCAGGGTGATACCATTCGGGCTGACGCCGAGCCGAGCGTTCTAGGCGAGACTAATGCGGGGGAAAAAGGGGGGGCTTGAGTAGGAGAAACCATTTTCTGCCCGTTCCCTTAAGTTTCCCCGTCCTTTTTATTGGTTGGTAGAATCAGCTGCCCCGCTTGTGGGCGGGGCGTTAGTTTGAAAGCTATGCAGGCAGCACAGCGGTGTTACAGCAAAATAAGTCCCCCTGGGCCCAGTGGCTGGGGCCTTGTTTTCAGAGTTTAAAACAGGGGTAGTCAACCTTGGCTCTTTTATGACTCGTGGACTTCAATTCCCAGAATTCCTGAGCCAGTTTAGCTGGCTCAGGAATTCTGGGAGTTGAAGTCCACGAGTCATAAAAGAGCCAAGGTTGACTACCCCTGGTTTAAAACAAGGATTGAAGTTGAACTGGGTACACACATCACACAGGCCTGCAATGGGCTGGGCTTGGCCTTCTGTATGGCCTCACTCAATGAAGTTTGCCATCCCTGGATGAAGGCAGTGTTAAGCCAACCTTGGCGACTTTAAGATGTGTGGGCTTCAAATCCCACAATTCCCCATAATGCATGCTGACTGGGGAATTATGGGAGTTGAAGTCCATTATGGGAGTTGAAGTCCACACATCTTAAAGTTGCCAAGGTTGAAAAACACTGAATTAAGACAATACAGTACAGTGTGTGAATTAGCTAAAACCCAACTAAGCGCATACAGTACCTACACTAAAGCTGGATTCACACCCCCTGCTCAATAATACTTTGTCCTAACCACAATTGGCAGATTAATCTCAAAGTATTATTGAGCAGGATGTGTGAACCCAACCTTAGTGTAGGCACTTGCATGCGGTTAGTTGGTTTTGATCTTCTGTTATCACTTGTGTCCTGTGGGATGCTCTCAACCTCAGTTCTTTTATATGTCATTATCTTCAGTGCCTCTTCATTAATGTAGAGGCTTCTTGAGCAGACAAGGACAGTGTTTATTAAATCCCTTATTTCCTAACCACTTCTTGACCTATTATTGCAACACTTTATATTTTTATATTATATTTATATTATTGCAACACTTTACATTTCTAAGCTTAAACATCATTACCGAAGAGTCAAAACAAATGAAAGTGAAGTATCCGTGCAAAAACAGGAATTTGCAGGGATGGTGGGCCAAGATACAATTCACACTGCTGCCTTTAATTACTATTTTGAGGTTAGATGGGATGTGTGTCTTGGGCCATGTGAATGGCGCATGTATATTCAGTGCCACAGCCTGGTCACCCAGTAAGGAGTACAAACATATCCAAATTTCCTCTAGACTTTAAAAAAAAAATCGATAGCTTTCAGTCTGCTCCTGAATCACCATCACACGCTTTCATTCCGGAAGCCCTAGGTAGCTTTATTCAATCCCAAGGGAGTCAAAATCCGTTGATGTTTTAAACTTGCAAGGCCCATCATCTTCCAAAGGAGACGTCCAAGTTGGCTTCCGCCTCCGGCAAGCGTTCTCCCTTCAGAAGTGCAACAGGCTGCTCAGATGCTCAGGACCTCAACTCCTATGTCTACTGAAGATTCTCAATCTTCCAGATCATGGTTGTCCCAAAGATGCTTTTTTCCAAAGGGTAACTGGAATTTATTTGGAAAAAGCACCTTTGGGACATTAACCCCCATGGTTCCCAGCCAAAACCCTTTTAAGGAAGAAGCATCCTCTTTGAGCAAGTAACAAGTTTAGCCAACAATAAGAGGGAAGCCACGCCATCAAGGTCATGGGTGGAGGGGAGAAGCATCTCGGTCGTGGGAAGGGGTCGCCCGCATCTTACACGCGGGCGCGCTCCCCTTTGCGCGCAAGGATTGGCGCGCTCCAGCCGGCCGAGGCAGGCGAGCGAGCGGGCGGAGGCGGGGAAAGGAGGGCAAGGGGCTGGCTCCCTCGGCTTGCAGTTCCAGCCCCAGCCGGGTCTAAGGCGGAGCCGACCTCCCTGCAAGCAGGCGGGGAAGCGGGTTGGGGAGGCGGAGCGCGCCCGATCGCCCGGCGCCGCCATGCCCAAAGTGGTCTCTCGCTCCGTGGTCTGCTCCGACACGCGCGACCGGGAGGAATATGACGATGGCGAGAAGCCGCTGCACGTGTATTACTGCCTCTGCGGGCAGATGGTGCTGGTCCTGGGTGAGCCAAGGAAGGGACCCCGGCCCCATCCCCATCCCCCGCCTCTCCTCCCGTCCGCTCGGCCAGGGCGCAAAGCGGGTCCCCCACAACCCTCGCCAAGCCTTGGGCATTACGCACCGGCTGTAAGAACCCAGCCGTTGGGAACGACTGGCAAAGCCGGGACTGCCACTCCCGGAGTTCCGCGCCGTTGGGGCGCGAGGGTGGGGCTGATGGGAGTTGAAGTCCAAAAGCTTTCAGGTTAGTTCTGAAGCTTTCCGGCCGTACCTGCCAGGTGTTTTCAACCCAGGTGGGCACTGCTGGGGGATGATGGGAGTTGTAGTCCTCGGGGTAGGAGAGTCCTGTTTCACCCATGCTAGCAAATAACAGCCAGCCTCCTAAGCTGCTTTGGGGGTGAGCATCAGAGGTGTTTAAACCTAATGCAAGGTATAGAGTTGTCCGGAGTCGCTTTGGATGGTAAAATGAGTGGCTTATAAATTTAATAAATAAGTAAACTTGTCCATCCTAATACTCCAGTTTGGAAAGGGAGACATGACTCCACACTTGAGCTAGCCAATGTTTCATTCCTAGCGCTTTTTATTAATATCTCCCCCTTATTATAAATAAGTTGCATAGTCAACAAAACCCTTGAAACTTCAACAAAGCTTGCCAAATGTTGCTCAGGGGGGAAAAACGCTGTAAGAAATCTTGTGGGTATAATTAAGATCTGTACGATGGTTTCCATGTTAGAAAGCAATTCCTTTTATCAAACGTTTGGGGAATTTGATGTTTTCTGTCCAAGTTTGATTGATAGCTGTAAAATGGGATTGAAACAGTGATTTGATATTGGGGTGGATGTTGGTTTGTTTAATCTTTCCGGGACCTCCTACCGCATTGATCGTCTGACTTTAGATCTATTTTCCCTGAAGGCTTTTTAAAATTATGATGATTTTTTTTTTCTAGATTGCCAACTTGAGAAGCTGCCCATGAGACCCCGTGATCGGGCCAGAGTTATTGATGCGGTTAAACATGCCCACAAATTCTGTAACACGGAAGAAGAGGAAAATGTTTACCTGCGCAGGTAGGAAGGCCTCCACAAAGCGCCATTGCCAGGGATGGTCAGCCGGGGCCCAGGCAGCCATGGCCAAAATCAAAGATGTACAATTTCAGAAACAAATCTTTGCTTTTGATGGACTTCTTCAACTTATCTCATCTTTCATATGAAATATTGGAAGGGGGTGTCCCCGTCTTCATTGTCTCCATCGACTTCTTTGTTTCTGCAGAGGAAGATGTAATATTAAAATGGCTGAAACATTTGTTTTTATTCGTTAGATATTAACTGATGGTTTCTTTCTTTGTGAAAATATAATTTTAATCGCATTTTTAACAGGAGTCACTCGTGGAAAAATAAGTTCGCGTGGTAAAATATATTCTTTTTAACAATAAGTTTATCATCCAGGATTTATGGCTTCTCAGACTATGTAATCCCAACTAAAAATGACTTCTTCTTTTTTGCAACAAACTAAGATTAAGCAAAGTAAAGCCTACTTACCTATTTTTCTTCCCTACCTAGGCCAGAAGGCATTGAGCGACAATACAGGAAAAAGTGTGGAAAGTAAGTGGATTTCAGAGGAAGTGTTCAGAAGGTAAAACAGTCAACAAATATTGTTTCCAGTGATAAAAGAACATCCAGTGATAAAAGAACATGTGGGGGCCATTGTGATCTGGTGAATTAATGCACTCAGCTCTTTCTCCAAAGTAAAAATAAAATAAAACAAAGGGATCTAAATCCAGTGTTAGGATGTCATCCAGAAGACTCTAATGCATCTCCAATTGAGTGTCTTCTCGTACATTGGGCTACTGGCTGTTGGGGGTTGGGATCCAGCTTAACAAATAGGCCTAGATTAGTGAAGAGTGAAATGATTGCAATTTATGTCATTCTGAGGCTTAATCTAGCAGGTGAAGTGAGCTAAAATATTAGCGTCAGGGAGACTATCTGTTTGTTTATTAGAAGAAGGAAATAAAACAAGCGGTCACTTTCATTCCAGGTGTGGCTTACTCCTTTTCTACCAACACCAGCAGAAGAACGCTCCGGTGACGTTCATTGTTGATGGTGCCGTGGTCAAATTTGGACAAGGTTTTGGGAAGACCAACATCTACACTCAGAAGCAAGAGCCCCCTAAGAAGGTAGAGAGACAGAGACTTCTCTTGCAGTGTGTGGAGACCGAGTAGAGAGGATGCCAACCACTGTGAAGTTTCACCATGTCTTCTCACTGGGCTTCCGAGCTTCGTGGTGGCATCTGCTTGACCTGATCTCTCTTCTTACTCCAGGAAGTCCTGAAATATTTGGCCGTGAGAGCAAGAGATTGTCCTCCTTTGTAAATTTGTTATCCAGTTGACTTGCTCCATCAGAAGATGCATTCTTCAATTCCATTTCCTTTTCTCAAGCCCAAGAGCATGGCTTCATGAGCTTCAGTTGACTTAATCCGCCTCAGTCATCAGCCAAACTTCTTGTAAAGCACAATATTGTGGGGGGGTTGAGGGCCACAAATTAGCAGAATGATAAATCTTGATGCCTTGGCGTTGGTATTTTTCCCCTGCTTTCCTGATTTTGCATGGCTGGAATCCATTTTAAATGTGCTAAATATCTTTAGCTTCCTAAATGAATTTGGGACACAGTTGCCCAACACATTTAGTGGTGCAACTCTTGGGGAATTCTACATGTTGTAAAAAAAAAGGGGGAGAGGGGGTTGGACATCTGTTACACAGCTGGTGATCTGCAAGTTACAGTCCCTGTTCTGAGATCCCAAAACATGAGGTATTGGACAGACCTACCTCTCTTTTCTTAGTATTAAATTTCAGGACAGCATTTTTCTGATCTGTGAAGGATAACTATAGTCACCTTTTACATTTGCTGATCCCCAAGCTTCGACCACACATAATATTCTTTTTAAAAAACTTCTCTCCTTCCAAGGTTATGATGACCAAACGGACGAAGGATATGGGCAAATTCAGCTCGGTGACCGTGTCTACTATTGATGAAGAAGAAGAAGAGATTGAAGCGGTAAGGTCTTCTGTATCTCTCAGAAACAAGCAATTCTGGCTTCTTGGGTAGACCAAAAAGTAGTAACCTTGTTGTTTGCCACACATGTTAGAAGAAACTCTCCAGACAGCCTGCCTTCCCCTGGGAACGACCCGTGTAAGGCCTCATGGATCTTAGGGATGTCAAGCTTATGCCATTTACAGCTATGCAAGGATTCCAAGCTAGGCCTTTGCTTGACTCCTCCTTCCAGTAGCTGGCAGTTTCCCATCATCTTTCTTGAAGGCAACGGGAGATCTAGGTGGTCTAGATATTTGAAGCCAAGGATTTAGTCAGAAATAATGGATAGAAACTAATCAAGGACAGAAGCAGCCTGGAATTAAGGAAAAATTTCCTAACAATGAGGACAATTAACTAGTGGAACAGCTTGCCTCCAGAAGTTGTGATGCTCCGTTACTGGAGGTTTTTAAGAAGAGACTGGACAGCCACCTATCTGAAATGCTGTAGGGTCTCTTGCTTGAGCAGGGGGTTGGACTAGAAGACCTCCAAGATCCCTTCCAGCTCTATTCTGATTGATTGACTTCTGGTCATTATGAAACTACTTCCTTCCATAGTTTCTAATAATTTACACTTTCTCTCTTTCTTCTCAGAAGGATACCAGAGTGGTGTGATTTATTCAATAGTGACTAAAGAAACTACTATATAAATCCTTGTCCAACACAGTGGGCAATTTGGGGTTAGTCACATTGGTTCATGCCTCACATTACAGCACTGTATGCTTAATCATGGTTGACATGGTAATTTTTATTGACTAACCAACGATCAGCTAAGTCCATATGAAACCATAAACCATAGTTCACGCATCGTGGTTAGGTTTACAATGATGACACCACTTACATGATTACACCAATTATGCCAGTTGGTGTCAACTGACACAAATTACATCATTTGGATTTAATGGACCTTTGGCTTTAATGGACAGTTGGTTTTAACAGACACTGGACTATAAGAGACTTACTCCTATGTGGTCTGTAAAATTGAGGTATTCATTTTTTACTCTAGCCTGTTTTTGATGTGCTTCTTTTCTGCTGGCACTACCATCATAGTGTCTTAACCCCTTCTTATGGAATATTTTTCAGCGTGAGATTGCTGATTCATATGCCCAAAATGCCAAAGTGATCGAGAAGCAGCTGGAAAGGAAAGGCATGAGCAAGAGAAGGCTGCAGGAACTGGTGAGTGTCTTATTTTTCACCCTTCTCATTTCTGCATTTCATGTATAGGTTTGAGGCAACAGCGTTCTACGGATTCTGGTGGGAATCAACCTCACATTCTCTCTAAATAACTTGTCCCCAAATACTTGAGGACCTTTTAGATAATTCAGTGCTGTATCACTCATTTCGTGTAGTTACTTTTATTATTCGTGACCATATTTTTGTAGAAATGATTGTAACTCTTCTATTTCTGGATTGACTTCACTGATTTTATTATTATTGGCAACGGTTCCGTTGAATTGAATCTAATTAACTTTTGTGTTTGTTGAACTGCTCTGCACTGAGTTGGCAGCGTTGAATTGTCCCATTCTGTACTGAATCAGTGACCGTAAAAATTCTGGAGCCTGTTGGGTGGCTGCAGGTTTCTCAGCTTTGCAGAAAACCAACTTAATTTTATTCCAAGGTTCTCACTTTCAAATGTAAGAGAGAAGTCACTTCCGTTTCCTCGTAAATGTTAGCAAGGATATTTCTTTAATGCTGGCTTTTCCGTTTTTTGTTTTTTTTTAATTTGATCAGGCCGAGCTGGAAGCCAAGAAGGCCAAAATGAAAGGGACCCTTATTGACAACCAGTTCAAATAAGAAGTTTTGCCAAAAGAAGAGAAGCGACCCACAACATTTTGTTTCCTTGCTGGTTTGCCCCAAGGAATTTGGCCTCACTCCTGAAAACGCAGTGAAGGGGGGCAACTTGGCGAAGAGAAATAAATGCTCTGCTTTTTCTAATGTATTGCTTGTAGTCTAGGTTTTAATTTTCCTTTTGAAGGTTCTGAGAAGCATTTTTCCGTCATTTGCTGTATATTCAGTTTGGCAAGACCTTGTAAATTTGAATTGAGGACCTCATTTGTACAGAGGTTTTCTTTTTTTTTTAGTTATTTGTGTATTTTCATATGTACATAAAATTCTGGTGAGAGAGAAATCAATAAAGAAAAATGAACCTTTGGTAAATAATTAGTTTCATGTGATTGTTATTCCTTTGTCTGCTGGAATTTGTTATGTAGACTCATTTGTTGTATCACGTGATTGTCTAGCCTGGAAGCTAAGCAAGATCAGGCCTGGGGTACAAGTCTGAATGGGAGGCCTCTAGGAGTACCGAAACTATATACAGAACCAGGAATGTTTAAAAAAATGTCAAATGTTAGACTATGGCTTAGTGTGATATGATGAACCCAGCACAACATGCTGTTCAAGGTGGCTTATTTCTCGTTAACCTGGATTATTTTATGCTGTTTCTGTTTACACCCTGAGGTGACCGTGAAAAAGTCAAGTTCAATGACCAAGCATTAAACTCGGAGGTTAATATACACATTAAAAAATAAATGTAAAAAATATATATGTTAAAAGTCTTTTTAAATGGCACGAAGATCTGTCATTTAGTTTAATGGAAAATGTGATTGGGATTACAGGCAGAAACTGTAGATGAGATTCTCAAAGGAGAATGGTTATGTTACTATACCCTGCATCTCGCCGCTTAAAAGTGAGACCGCAATTGGAACCACAGTTGTTTAGTGAATCGCTGCCGTTGTTAAATGAATCACACAGTTGTTAAGTGAATCCGGCTTCCACCGTTGACTTTCCTTGTCAGAAGCTAGCTGGGAGGGTCCCAAATGGCAATCACAGGAGCCAGGGATGCTGCAAATACATTGTGCTGCTTGGGCAAGCATCCAACTTTTATTCGTGTGACTGTGGGGATGTTGTGAGAGTCATAAGTGCAAGTCACTTTTTCAGTGCGGTTGTAATGAATGTAGGTCAAGGACTATCTGCATTTATATATATCAAAAGAGGCTCGCAGAGAGTTAGCCTCATCTGATTGGAAGTTTGTCGTCTCTGGTATAAATTTAAAAACAGGCCATTTTCATACAGATGGGTTGCAGTAGCAATGTTTGGCCAGCAGAGGTCTTACAAGTGACGTGGCTAAATCAAACCCAACCAGTCAAGTTTCTAGTTCTGGTGAAAAAAAAGAGCTTAACTGCCCCAACAAAGCAGATCATTGCAAGAAACAAGATGTTGGTTTAAACTCTTTCAAAAAGATCTCATCCTTAATATTCTAGGGACACTCATGACTTAAGGCAGTGATGGCGAACCTTTTAGAGACCGAGTGCCCAAACTGCAACCCAAAACCCATTTATGCATCGTCGGGTGCCGGGTGGGTGTGGCCCATTGGGTGGGCGTGGCTGCAGTGGTAACCGCAGACTGGGTGGGACTAAAAAGTTCAATCAATCAATTCCAATTTTGCAAGATCTTTTTTTTCCTGCGAGAAATTGAAATTGACTGACTGATTGAACCTTTTTTTTTTTGTACACGGCGGCGGAGGCCTAAAGCGAAAAGGTTTTATAAAACTCAGCTGAAGGCCTAGGACTGGGGCGACGGCGCGTGTGCCCACAGAGAGGGCTCTGAGTGCCGCCTCTGGCACCCATGCCATAGGTTTGCCACCACTGACTTAAGGTAAGCGGGTGTCTAATTGCACTGGTTTTATTGTTGCGTGTTGTTGAGCTTTTGCAAAGCCTGTGTGTTCCCAAGTTTCTAAAAGTATTCCTACTGAGCGTGGGTTGTGTAGCCATGAGCAGTTTAAGCAATGACCTTCATCCCTGAATATTGAAATAAGACAATATTCAGACTTGCCGGTTGCACGTGACCTGCAGCCCACACAAAGAGGCCTTGAACAGAGCTTCTGTGCCCTTTCAGAGCTGTGTCTTATAAGTGAGAGGAGCGGCATATAAATTTAATCCATACATTTAATCCCTAAAATCTTAAAGCTTACGACCACAACGGAGCCCAAACTTTCTGTTGCTAAGTGAAACATTTGTTAAGTGAGTTTGCCCCCTGTTGCAACTTTTCTTGCCACAGTTGTTAAGAGAATCACTGCAGTTGTTAGACTAGTTCAATTTTTGTGAAGTGAATCTGGCTTTGCTTGACAGACGGTCATGAAAGGGGATCACGTGACGCCGGGACACTGCGACCGTCATAAATATGAGTCAGTTGCCAAGCGTCTGAATTTTGATCACACGACCTCGGGGAATACTACGACCGTCATAAGTGTGAAAACTAGTCATGGGTCGCTTTTTTTCAGCGCCGTAACTTGGAACAGTCACTAAACAAATTGTTGTAAGTCGAGAACTATCTGTAGCAATTTGCAAACAGGGAAGAGAACGGTCCAGGTTGGACAAGTTTACTCCTAGACAGGGGTAGGCCACCTTGGCTCTTTTATGACTCGTGGACTTCAACTGCCAGAATTCTGGGAGTTGAAGTCCACGAGTCATAAAAGAGCCAAGGTGGCCTACCCCTGTCCTAAGAGGTTCTTCCTAACAAGCTGGGACTTTTCTCCTCTTTGCTCCGCTTCGCCAGTCCTTGCAAGACTTGGCCTGTTCAGGCAGAAGTTCTCTGGGCGTGGATGACACAAGCTAAGGTGGAGCCTGGACCAATCAAGCGTGGATGAAAAAAATGCTTCCTGCCTTTGCAGATCTCCTTAAAAGGAGATTCAGGAGCAGCAAGGAAGCTGTCTCAACCACTGGGTGACCTTCAGTCAGGTGACCATGAAAAGGAGGAGGAAAGAAAAAAATAGGGAAACACCTTTTTTTGGTTTGAAGGTCGTTTTGTTTTTTTTTTACAAGAAAGGAAAGAAAGATGTTATATAGGTCGACGGCAGCAAGGTTACTTCATGCACAAAAGTGGAAGGACACTTTGATTCTCACGATGGACGAACGGCTGCAACAGCTAATGGAGTTAGCAGAGAGGGCTAAACTGACAGCTTTAATTAAAAGGGAAAAAAACACAATTACTTTTGTTTCTACCCGGAAACCATTTCTGGACTTTGTGCTTGAGGTGGGAAGAAAAAAAAGGAAGCTTTGATTTTGGGTTTTATCGATTAGATAGGTTTATTGTTCTAGAAATGGCTAGTTTATACTATTATGTACAAGTAAAAAGTTGAGGTTTGATGTTAATATCTTATTCTACTGTCCCAAAGGGAGTTGGAAGTTAATGCCTTTTCTTTCTTTTTCTCCTTTTCCCTTCCCTTCTCCCTCCCCTATTTTCCTATTATTTTCTTTTGTATTTTTGTATTTTATATTATAAACTAATCAATAGGTTGACCCCCATTTCCTGTGACAGTCCTCAAATATTGGAAGACTGCTACCACATCACATTTATTTAATTATTACAGCACAGTCTCGGATCCGCACAGAACAAGAAAGTAATTAAAAACCAGCTCCCCAAATAAGCAGAAATCCTTCCCTGTTGTGTAATGTTCTAGTCCATAAGAGACTTTGTCAATCTTGGTTATAGATCAGAACACGGCTAAACTAAGTACACTGTTTCTAAACAGGTTGCTTTTTTTCCTTCCCCACCGTGTTATCAATCACTGGATCACAATGACATCAGCTCTGAACAATGTGACTTTCTTTGCCATTGAACCTGTGTGCAAAGGGACCAAGTTGTGCTGGGGTTTGTGGCAGGTTTGATGATCTGTCAACCACGTGGGTGTGCATTCATCTGCCAGAGTCTTTGGTCAAAGTGCTTTCCATGTCACAAGTTTACAACCGCTTGTTCTCTGGGTGACCTCAGATCTGAAGGGGTCATGATGGACCTTGCCCACCAGTTTGTGAACACCCTAATTCAGTTAACCGAACCTTGACAATTAACTGGGGTGGGGATTGTTTGAATTTTAACCCCCAAGAGGTCAGGAGTACAGGTAGGTCCTTGACTTACAAGCAGAACTAGAAGCAGAATTTTTCTTGCTAAGCTAGGCCGTTGTTAAGTGAATCCTTCCCAATTTTGTGACCTTTCTCATCATGGCTGCCACAAAGAAGAGGGGGTCGACTTATTTTCCAAAGCACCAAAAGACAAGACAAGAAACAATGGATGGAAAGTAATGCAGGAGAGAAGCAACCTGGAATTAAGGAGAAACTTCCTCACAGGGAGGACAATTAACCAGTGGAACAGCTTGCCACCAGAAGTTGTGGAGATTTTTAATAAGAGACTGGACAGCCACTTGTCTGGAATGGTATAAGGCCTCCTGCTAGAGCAGGGGTTGGACTAGAAGACCTCCAAGGTCCCTTCCAGCTCTATTCTATTCTATTCTATTCTATTCTATTCTATTCTATTCTATTCTATTCTATTCCATTCCATTCCATTCCTGTATTCTCTTCTCTTCTCTTTTACATTCTATTCTATTCTATTCTATTCTATTCTATTCTATTCTATTCTAATTGAAATCACTGCATTTGTTAAGTGAATTACAAGGTCCATAAGTAAATCTGACTTCCTTCATTAGCTTGGGAAGGTTGCAAATTTTGGTCACATGACCTCAAGATGCTGCAATCATCATATATGCATGATGGTTGCCAAGGGCCCAAATTTTGATCACATGACTGCAGGGTTGCTTCCACAATTTTAAGTGGTCATAAGTTATTTCTTTTTAGTGATGCTGTAGCTTTGAACGGTTGCCAAATTAATGGTTTTAAGTTTACACATTCCCTAATATGGGGTGAACCGCCTATCTATATGAATAATTAGCCGTTCCTACTCCTAAAATCAGAGATAAAATTGTTCAAAGGTCCTGAAAAGAAAAGAAACTTCTCTAAACATGTCTTCTTTGGCCACATGGAGACATGAAAATAAAGAGAAAGAATTGCCAGCTAGGAGAACTCTCTCTAACCGCAGTGGTGCCAATGTTATTAGAGACCTCACATTTAATTCCTGTTTCTCTCCACTAAGAAGCAGTCAACCCTAAAACCTTGGAAGTGATAGTTTCCTGAATCCTTGATTAGAAATAGAGTAGTTTTTCTGTGGAAGAGCACTTACTCACTCCGACTGCTACAAGGAAGTAATGCAATCATTCTACTACTATTCAAATAGTTCAGTAACTCCAGTGCCAACTTTTTTTTTTTGGCAT